GGGCGCGGGCGGCGCCGCCGAGCCGGGGCCGGGCACCTCGGCCGCTCGGGCCGCGGCGGCGGGGACCATGCCGAGGAAAGTCTCCTGAGCCCGGCAACTTCGGCCCCTCCCCGCCCCCACCCGCGCTGCCCTCGGCGCGGCCCTGTCCATGTGCAGCCGGCCGGCCGGGCTCTGCTCCTCGCAGGCGGATGGGTGACCTTTTCCTGGCACGGGCAGGCTGTGCAAGGCGGCGGAGCAGGCGATGAAGAAGAAGCAGCAGCAGCAGCAGCATCCCGGCAGCGGCGCGGATCCCTGGCCCCATGGGGCCCCTCTGGGGGGCGCCCCTCCCGGCCTGGGCAGCTGGAAGCGCCGGGTCTCCCTGCTGCCTCTCCTGCGCTTCTCCCTCCGGGACTACGGTTTCTGCATGGCCACCCTGCTGGTCTTCTGCCTGGGCTCCCTCTTCTATCAGCTCGGCGGGGGACCCCCGCGCTTTCTGCTCGACCTGCGGCAGTATTTGGGTAAGGAAGGGAGACGGGAGCCAGGGCGGCGCGCGCTGCTCGAAGTTGTGCAAGGGAGAGTGGGGCGCGCCGGGCACTCTGGAGCTGCCCCTGCCGCCGCCTCCCCGAGGCTCCCCAGGTGGGACGCCGACTAGCATCGGTGCGGCGGCCCCGAGCGCCTGCTGCCTCCAGCGCGTCCGTCTGTCTGCGCCTAGGCGGGGGCGCCGCGGGGTTGATGTGCCGGGCAGGTAGCCCGGGGCTGGCCGCTGCATACCTTCCCCCGCCTCCGCCACCCCGTCTGGGCGGAGTGCAGGCGTGTGAGTGAGTGTGTACGAGTGTGTGTATATTCAAGCCTGGCAGAGTGGGGAGAGACGAGGGGCAGCGACAGCCCCTCCATGGCATTAGCGACCACAGTCCCGTCCCGTCCCGTGCTCGGGGTCTTGCGGGTGGGATTGACCCCTCCCCACGTCCCGTTCTGTGAATTGTGCCCCACAAGAGCTCCTGCCCCCTGGCCTGGGTGGCCCAGGGGCAGTTTTCGGGCTCCACGCCGTCCCTGAGCTGCCTTGTGCTTGGGGCACCCCCTGCCCACCCCACTGTCCTCAGCGAGTGAGACGCGGGGACCCGGGGTCCGGGGCGCGAGTCACCCTGGCCAGCAGTGTCGCCTACTTCGACTGAACGATCCTCAGCGCTGTGTCTCAAATCTGATCCTTTTTGGGGGGGCGGGTTGTGCCTGGTATATTAGGAGCGAGGTCGCCTGTTCTAGCAGAGGCAAGGAAGGAGTGTGCGAAGAGAGAAAAGAGCGTCTCCAGAGAGAGGGCGTGACCCGCGGCTCGGTGGTCCGGGCGCGGGGAGAGCGGTGCCAGGGCCCAGCGAAAGTACCCCCCAGGCCCCCGGTGCGCGCCTTGGCTAAGGGAGGATGCACCTCTCTCACAAGTCTGTGGACAGAAGAGGTCTTGCGGGGGGCCGGGGCGGGGGCGGGGCGGAGAGCCTGGGAGGGATCCAGCTAATCGCAAACGTCCAAGGGGATAAACCTGAGCCCCCGGCAAACTTCGGCATCCGCGTGACGGGAGCGAAGGCGCAAAGGGAAGCCCCCGGAGCGCTGGAACCATAATGGGCCAAACGACTCCGGCGGCGGGAAGCTGCCACCCTCACCCGCAGAAATCCCTTCGTCGCAGAAACCACAGGTCTGGATAGCAGATCGTTTTCGAAGGAAAAAACCACTCCAGCAAAGTGAGAAAAGTGTTAGAGCGTTTTCAAATGTACACGCAGATAAAATAATGTTTTTTTCCCACGTAGAGAAGCTCAGATTTTAAAAGTTACACTTCTTTTTCAGTAGAAACTTTAGGGAACTACGGTTTTTCTAAGATGCTTTAGGGAGAATTAAAGGAAAATATTGCCCGAGTAGATTTCCAAACATATCTGGTTTCTTAGAGGATTTGGGGTAATAGGCACTTTTGCTAAGGAGTCAACTCTCTTCTTTCGACTTCTGTGTTAGGAAGTCTCACAGCCTCACAGGCTCTCCGATTCCTGCTAGTACCACACAGGTCACAATTGTTACGATTACCGACGATCTCTGTTAACTGGCATAGGGAGGGAAGTGATTTGGAAGCTCAGGGGCCTTTCTCCATAAACTCTGATAATGAATTCTTTGGTGAGGTTCTTTTAAAGCAAAATATGCAGGCAAGTGATGTAGGGAA